AACACTCCCACCAACAAAATAACAGCCCAGAGTGTTGTAACCACACACTTCCTTCTTCTTATATATATATATATATATATATATCATCTCTCACTTTGTTTTAGGGTTTATCATAAAGGGTACTCACAAATGCATATAAACAAAAATACAGATCGAGGAAACAATTCTGCACTTAGTACAGTATTGTCTAATAAGTTTCACCCAGGCTTCGTTCATGGAATCTTTAAGTAAGAGCTATTTATTACGAGGGACTGGCATGGTGTATTTATGAAAAATTTTATTTTCATATTTTAAAATCTTATAAAAATAAATAAAATATAATTAAAAATTTGAAGATACCAAAATTTTTAAATATTATATAAAGACATCAATATGATTTTGAAGCATGGGAAACAATCCTTGACTTGTCGATTTATGAAAGATCAGAGAAGATGGAAAAATGATGGGAACATACATGTATAATGTGAACAAAGGTTAGGGCAAATGATTAGGATTTGAAGAATGGAACGCAAATTTGTTTTTTTATATATCCTACAATTATAAGTGTCAATATCGGGGCTCTGACTTAGAGGAGAGGCTGGCTGACCTGTGGATGGCTTTGGGGCTATAGGAAGGCGATGTCAAGGGACCCACTAGTTGTGGCACGCGTGCACGCCGCGTGGACCCCAGAGGTTGACTTATTTATGATTTTCAAAAACAAAGGTCGTACCTATACTTGTTACCATGTGACGCAAGAGTCTTCCTCTAGTCTCTCCTCCACCATTATCTTTCTCTGTCTGCTGCCGCCTCATCATCTATCACCCACCCTCAAGTCAAAATCTAATTGCATCTTCCTTTCTTTGCTTTCTTTTTTTCTGTCTATTAAGTCAAAACTATTATTTTTTTTCTTTTTTTTTTTGAGAAAATAATTCAAGACACAATCGTAAAGTGTGTTACACGTAGTGCTTGTCAATTTTCTTGTTTCTTGACGGAAACAGATTTGGAAAACGTCAATAAATTAGTACCATTAGGGTGTTGTTTTTGGCTTTTAGTTCTTTTAATTTGTTGGGATATTAATTCCCGATGATGAATAATTGTGCACGAAAAAGTTGTACTACATGCTTTTAATTATCTAACTAATCAATAGCCTTGCTATGCTAAAAAAAAAAAAGGATGTATGTAGTTTTTGCTGCTAGTCTCCGGTGTGTAATGACCTCCTTAAATTTGGAGGGCTCAAATTCATAACATTCATTTTTTTTTTCATAATTGAGTTGGATCTGATTTTGATTGGAGCTTTTACATACATACATATATATATATATATGTTTTACTTATTGGAACATCATGAGGTCAGACGTGGATGTCCATGAATGAAAATGGGTGTAAGGATATGTTGTTTTTTCACAATCTTGAAGAAATTATCATAGTATTTATGCTGGGACTAAATTGAATTTGAGAAACCTCCACAAATTAAACAAATAGGACGTACTTCCCATGCCTAATTCTTCGATACAAGGAATGTCTCATCACTATTCATGAACATGGATGAAATATTAAGAAATTCTATATGTTGGATTCGCAACGATCGAAATCAGTGACGAATTTCTTTTGGTGATTCCTTAGGGAGTATTAATAACGAAAAGAAATTTCTATTTGTAATTATTATATATTATCTATGATGATTCTCATTGAAAAGAACCAAAGTAAATAAAAAATAAAAATTTTCTTGTATTCTATTTGAAAAATTATAAAATTAAAATTTGATTGGTGATATTGAAAATGGGAAAATATTTTTTTAAAAAGGGACTCTTAATTAGATGTAATTAATAAATTGAGAAAAACCATCAAATCATACATATATATATATATATATATATATATATTAGATTTGAAAAAAAAACTTTATTTTATCGACTAAATCATGAAAAAAAATTGTGAGTGATTAATAAAAAAATAAATATATAAGAAAGGGAATATAAGTTCCTTTGTAGAAAACAATCACTCATTAATAGTTTATAAAAAAAAATGTAAAAAACCTCTAGTAAGTTTAAAGATTGAATCTTTTACAAGTCCTATTTATATTTGAGAATTTTAAACGGTAAATTATACTTTAAATCGCATTAGCAAAAGATGCAAGATATTTGTAGAATGGAAGAAAGTCCAAACTCCAAAGCTAAGATCATTGTTTGGGCCCTCTCAAGTGAAAACTAATTTCTTTTTTCTTTTATTCGAGTCAGCTTTCTATCATTGCAACAAAAACAAGAACACGCACAACAGTTAATCACTCATGCTCAACTTCTAAATCATCTTTGACTTAGGGAAAATGTCAAAATGATCTTATCCTTGACTTAAAAAAAATAATTAAAAAAATCAATTGCAACTTACACCACACGTAATCTTTCAATTCCAACCGAGTCGAGGAGTGACGCAAATAGATATTAAACCACCTTGTAATTAATTAAAGTGTATAGCATATGCTAATATTTTTTTATAAAAAAATATAATACATAGTCATTATAATTTTTATAAGCTTCAAATAGAGATTATAAACATGGCATTCGATTCTAATCAAGTAAAATAAATAAATTTGTTGACTAAAATAAAAAGCTATTTATCTTTTTTTTTTTTTTACTTATACACTCAAAATTTTTAACAACTAATCTGTTAGACCTTTTATTATATGAGGTTATTATCACCGAGTTATAAATTCTTTAATTAACTATTAACCTTTCGAATAGCATATTGTATTATCTATTTTGTGGAGTTGTTAATCTTAATTTTCTATACTCGAGTCATTTCATCATCAAAATTGGGACATGTACAAATATATAATTGATGTTTGAAATTTACAATTTTACAGTAATTAGGAGACAAAATTTACGTGATCAACAACAATTTGACTATCCCACTAGATGTCCTTGATATGCTGAGTTGATTGCCAACTTCCTTCAGGTGATTTTTTTTTAGTGGAACTGGTGATTGTCAAGAAGCTAGTTGTCTTGTCTTGATGATCAATCAAGCACCCATGTCTAGAGGAAAAAAATATCTATCTATCACAATATTATTTTTGCTTTCTATGAAACGACAATAATGTATTTCTGATAAAGGTTATTAATTTTAATTTGTGAATATAACAAATATCAATTCGTCTGTACACTATATATTAATTGAAAATTATCATGGTAACTTAATTAGGAGTAATGCTAATTACTCTTAAAGATTATTATACACATGTGTAAGTGAATCTGAATCCATACTCTTAAAGAAAACCCTTTACAAGAAACTTTTTTATCCAAAAAAGTAATCCAAAAAGCTTTTGTGTCTATAAAAAATCTCAAAAAAATTAAAAAAATCATAAATAAAATTACAAAATGTAACTCTCACTTAACGCCGTGGATCCACTTGTTTTTTTTTTTGTGAAAATTTTTATTTTGAATTCTGCTATATATATATATATATATATATATATATATATATATATCACAACAGTTTTTTTCTTCATATTGACAACCATCGTTTTGACAGCTATAAAAATATATAGCTTATGTCATAAATTATGAAATATAATTGTTCACATAATATAAATATTGTAAATATTTTGATTTGGGTTTTTATATATATATATATATATATATATATATATATATATATAGAGGAAGCTTTTTGGGTGTTTATCTTAGAGCGCAATGAAAAAATATATATATGTAGTAAAATTTTAAAACTATTTTAAAAACCAAAAACTAGAAACTATAAAATATTAATTTTAGGACTCGTGAGCATTATTTTTATGTATAAAAGTATTTTAATGGTATATATTTTCGAACAATTTTTATAATTATAATAATAAAAACTAATAGCCCAACCACATGAAAACTATACAATTGAAAACTGCAGCTATTCTTTTAAGAAATGAAGTTCTATACATATGAATGATCGCTTTGAAGAAAATAACATTAAGTAGTACTAACTCTATATATTACAGAGTACGTAATAGATCATAATAATAATAAAAATGAAACAACTATCATTCTCTCTCTCCCTATCATGGAATAGAGTAATTTCATATATATAAAACTTCTAATATCACTACTGATATCATGGAATAGAGTAATTTCATATATAAACCTTTAATCAAATATAAAAAATACCCAATAAGTGGGTACATATATAAAATTAAACCAGAATACTAGTAGAGGAAAAAAAAATTGAACGAAGTTAGATCTGGATCCACAAGAAACTAGATCTAAAATTATTTGTTAGAAAATAAAAGAGAACAAGTGATGAAAAGGGCTACCACCATTGATTTAGTGAAAAAAATAATCAACAACGACTAGGGTTTTCTTCTTCAAAGAAAACAAAGATGTTGAGAGAGAAGAGAGGAGAAGGGGTAACATTTCCATCTTTTCCAAAAATTTTATTAATAATACTTATTCTACCAGTGAAAGATACGTGAAAAAAAATTAAAAAAAAAAATTTGAGTGAAAATATTTTTATTGGTTTTTCATAGGAGTAAATGTTAGTTATTTTTTAAATATTTTAAAACTTCTTCTTTCTTGCTCTATGATTGGGACAGTGGCTCCTATTCACCCAAGTGGATCGTAAGCTGGCACGATTTCATTGGCATACCACAACATCCAAATATAATATTCTTTATTATAAGATCGATATTGAAATAAAAGAAAAGGCAGCCAAAGAAACAAATGAATACAATAAAACTAAAACAGAAAAAAAAAAAAATCAATTTCAAAATGACATTTCCTGTGTCTAATCACTCACTCACTCAGTGAGAGAAATGTCAACCCACCAAAATTCCGGTTAGTTCTTTCATTGGTACACCACAAGACCCAAATGGTCACTTCGGTTTACAACTCCTATAAATACTCAAGTTATGCAGCGAACCGTTTTCTATCATTTTATGCAACCATAGAAGCTTAAATCGTTCGAGAAATCAAGAAAGAAAGCCAAGAAACCCAAGATTCTTGCACACTAACAACCACAAAAAGACAAAGCAGTGCAAAGCCATGGCAGATGAGTATACAAGCACAAACTGGTGGGATTCATCTTCATCAAGCAGGAACAGGTTTGACAGTACTGGATCGTCATCTACAACTTCAGGACTTAATAGTTTAGGTAGCTTTGCTTGGCCAACAGAAATGGTCGATGCCAAAGGAAGGTCTTCTATGGAAACTGTCTCGGTCTCAGATAGTTCTGCAGTTTTTCATGATTCCCAGAAGCTGCAACAAGGCCATGATTCTTCAGCTGACTTGCATATGATGGGTTTAGGCCTCTCTTCACAAGCCATGGATTGGAATCAAGCCTTACTGTAAGTTCACATATATACAAATACACTTGTAACCCTAGCTACCTACCTAGCCAAACGAATTTGCTTCATGTATACATATTCTTTGTTTCTTTATATGCATATAGAACGTGTGAAAACAGAATTTAAAGTTAAAATTGTTTTGGCAGTCGCGGCGATAAGTCTGAGAGCAGTTTTCGATCGATGCTTCAAGATAATTTGAGTTCAAGCACCAATTATCAGCAAGAAACTGGGATTGGATCATCTCAAGCTCAGTGGAGAGAGAGAGTGTTTACTGGGGTCAGTGGAGATTCCTCTATGACTGAGTTTAAGCAAATGAATCGAGGTTTCTCTTTAGATCAACCACAATTTAGTCCTCACGGGAGCTCCAGTGATAGTACTGTGACATGTCAAGGCTTGCAGTCTAGTTTCCCAATGGATTCCTCAAGTATCTATGGAAGCCCTTCAACTATGTTACAAGGGCTATTGGTATCAGATAATCAAGCACAACAGTCTTCTTTTGAGAACCGGTCGATGAGTTATGCATATGGGGCAAATTATGGGATTAACACTAATGAACTGTTGCATTCTTGGTCTAATAAAGTACCTCAATTCTTGAGAAATTCACCTCCCAAACAGCCTCCTCACAACCAATTGCACTTCTCCAATAATGCTCCCTTTTGGAATGCATCTGCAAGTTCCATGAGTGATGTTCGTCCGAGCTTTTTTACGTCGATGCAACCGCAGTTTGCTACATCGAATTTTGATGAAAAACCAAAGGTGTGCAAATCTAATATGATAATGGAAGTGTGCAACTAGGCATTTTTAGGCCTAAAAGCCTCATATATATATGGATAGTAAAAATAGCTAAACATAGATGCAATATACAGATATTTGATTGATATTGGTAATTATGCTTTCAAGCTTAGGGTTTGAACTATTGAGATTGAAAATTTTTGGTTCACTCTTTTTTCCAGCAGAATATATCTGAAGGACGGGAATCGAATACCGTAGTAAAGAAGAGTGGGAGCGAGGCAGCAACAAAAAGGCCCAGAAATGAAACACAAACACCGTCAGCTTTACCAGCTTTTAAGGTACAACAAAATTTGATAAAGATTTTGACAAGATGAGTCTATTCAGCTTTTTATCTTTTACATCATTTATAGACATGAATGAGAATTTGTAGCTTTGATCATAGGTAAGGAAAGAGAAGATGGGGGACAGAATCACTGCACTCCAACAATTGGTTTCACCTTTCGGAAAGGTAAGAGATAACTCTCTTGTTTTTCAGCTCACTTTCACAAAGAGCAAATAGTGATTGATCATTTGCATTCTTGAATCATGAAAACTTATCAATGATTGTCTTTTTGGCTTGTGATCATGTTATGATGTCAGACTGATACAGCCTCAGTGCTCTCTGAAGCTATTGAATACATCAAATTCCTCCATGAGCAGGTCACAGTAAGTGATCTTATTCAAATTTGCATCCTTCTAGTCAAAATTATACTTAAAAATGATTTAGATATGAATTATAAACAATGTATTCAACCAATAAGTATAGTGGTGTCTAGCATTTCTAGTTTAGTATATTCATCTTCCTATTTTATATTTCAGGTCTTGAGCACCTCATACATGAAAAGTGGAGCTCCCATACTCCACCAACAGGTACAATAATATTTTCCTCCCTGAAATATATAATCATACAGTAACTATTCCAACGAGTATTCAATACTTTACTATATATAAATGGTTAAATTAGTATTAATATGGCATCTTATTTTACTGTAGAATTCTGAGAAGTCTAAGGACCCTGAAGGACACAAACAAGATCTTAGAAGTCGCGGGCTATGTCTAGTACCGGTATCGAGCACTTTCCCGGTTACTCATGAGACCACGGTTGATTTTTGGACCCCTACATTTGGAGGGACTTACAGATAAAAGAAAAGAGAAGATGGTCGAAAATTCGGGCATGGGAACAGATTCTATGCAACTAGTACAGATGATCTTATCAAAACCCTAGCCAAGTTGGGAATGATAAGATCATTGAGAGAAGAAGAGAGAAAAAAAAAAAAACACAAAACAAACAAGCCCCACATAACTGTCTAGCCCAGGATGGAAAATAATACAGTGTAGAGAAATTTGAAAGAGAAAGAAAAGGAAATGACTCTCCAAAGGTACATGCCAATGTTGGGCCAGCTACAGGCAAAATGATGCAGTTGGCCAATATTGGGACCATTTGGAAGCATATTAATTGTTGTAATAATTGAAGAATTATATGATTATAAACGTGGGTTAGGAATGAGAATAGGTGCTGATTTTAGGGAAAGTGTTAAAAGATTTAGTTTAGATAACATTGATTTGTTATTAAGCAGCTGATGATCAGTTTAGTAGAAGAGAAGAGGAGAGATTTAAAGGAACTTTTGTGTTCTTTTCCTAGTGCTATATATATATATATATATATTGTGAATAGAGCTGGCACTAGGTTTAGTTTTCAGAGAGAAAAAGGAAAAGGAAGAAGAAACAAAAGAATTGAAAGGGAATAATTGAATTCCAGAATAGGGAGTGAGTGTGGGGATGTCATTTGATTGGAAATCTCACTTTTAATTTGTTTATGTGTTTGGAATATTGTTAGTGGAAGTCAGAAGGTGGTCCACACCTCTTCCTTTCAGGTTTTTATTTTTTTTATTTTTTCCTTTTTTTCTTTTAATTCCTAAATAATTAAATGCTGTGAATGGAGGTATGTATGTGTAGATGCCATCAGTCTGTGCTTTTTTGTGCTTTTAATCCAATGGCCACATTGAGGAGCTTCCATTTGAAGGTATAAACAAGCCCTTTAAACCCTCTCTCAGTACTTTCATATCTACAAACATAAAACCCATTTTAGGCTTGGTTATTTTTATTTATGATTATAGGAATCACACGCAAGTGAAACAGGAAAGTAATCAATAGTTTAAATTTGATCTTAAATTCTTTTAAGAAAAGCAACAAGATGAGAACATTTCAAAATTTTTGTATCAGATGATATCGGTAAGAAGGCTCGGAGAGAAACTACATTGTCTCCTGCCAACCATAGCAATTAATGATTTGTGTGTAGAAATTTGTACAAACAATTTTGTTTTCAAGATACAGCAGCTTCATGTATACGAAGTAAGGAAATTGATCCTGTCAAGATGCCATTCAAGATCTAGAAAGGAATGGAGAGATTTGGAATTAATTTGTTGCTTAATGCTCTAAGGCAATAAATTATATATATATGATCTTACATCATGAAGAAACTTATAATTTTCTGATCAGCACCCGATTCGGGACCTTATAATATATCAACTACTTTATGAGCTTCAAGTTTTTTAAAGTTGCTGAAAGTTACATAAACTTTACCAAGAATCATAGAATCTAAGAATTGATCATTGTTTCCCCAATATTACAGTCTTCCATGTGACTTCAAGGTATCGAAAGCTTACTTTCCAATCTATAAACTTGTCTTCAACAAGAAGTCTTTATTGATTCTTAAATGCGCTTTCAATCTACTGTCCTTCCAAGCTGACTTACAATACTAATGTTGGCAAAGATTCTTACTTGAAGAAATTAATCAGAAGCATTCTTTCTCAAGTGTAGACGACTGCTCATGGGCAATAATATAGCTAGATCAGTAAACTACACTTCCTCATGCATGTGATTGATCAGTCTTGCTTGACAGATGTATCTGTTCAGGGAAGGAGGAGCAGAAACTAGACACGGTTTCTATTACTCTAATTGTCAAAGAAAATTTTCCACAAAAGAAAAGATGACAAATCCTTATAGGAAAAAGGAAACAAACACAGAGTACCCTCTAGGAGCTTTGTTTGATTTAATTCTTACACTTAAAAGCACAGATTATACTCTTTAAATACAAAAAGTTTGCAATGATCACAAGTATCATATCCTCTTTTATTGATTATGAAGATATAAATCCAAAGCTAGATACCACTAGACTAGCAAGAATTTAGTCCAATCGAATCCAAGACATTGCAACAGATCATTAATTAGGTTTGGAATTAGTTTAACTAATACCTTCATTATCTTGCATTAACTATAACTTTTGCCTGCTCATGACTCGATACTCTCATATATTTCAGTTTCTACCTATTAAACTTCCTAATTGCATCTTTTAGTCATCATGTGAATTAGTTTAAACAACTGTTTCCTCTTTGATTTCCATCAACTGGAACCTTATTTTCAAAGTTCCATAAGCTTTTCTGTCACCCAGTGCTGCAGAAAAGTTACCACCGAGTCAAATTCTTAAAAGATTTAAATCCAATATGTATCCGAAAGAGAGAACCATATTTTAAAAGAAAATAATAATTATAAAAGAAGTGGAATCTAGTGACTGTTTAGGGTAAAAATGATTGCCCTGAGACTCTAATATTTTTTTAAAAAAAAATTTCTTTCCCTTGTTCTTGGTAGTGCAATTAATGGAGTAAAAAAATGTTTTCCATGAGAATTTAATTATGTTGGTCAACTTGCAAACCAATTAGTGCTCGAGATTCTATTTTATTTTACTAATAATGGGTTTCCAACTATGCAAGCATGAGAATAAGCAGAGAACAATATATGAGGTAATACGTTGCATCAGCCTAGCTAGCTACCTTGGAATTTGAGCACATAATTTAATCTTGAATCAACAATGCTTTATATTGGTAGGAGAAGACCGCGAAACTGAGTACTGCATGCCTAATTAAGGAGAGAAAGGAAGTGAAGCATATGGGCAGATAAAGAAAAGCTACAGGGAAGGTACCTGAAAAAAGTAAGTAAAGAAACTGAGGAATTCACATGCGACTGGGTGCTTGGCCAAATGATGGAAGAACAAGTTTGAGAGTTACAAGACTTCTTTTGGTGGCAGTTGCAAGTTGTCTGATTGCAATAATTCGAAGTTCATTAATTGATTGCAAAGGAGCCCAACCCCTTTATGTATAGCAATCCCACAGTAAAGAGAGGCAAAAGCCTTCCCAGCAAAATGCAGATTAACTAGTATATGTATGTTAAGGTGCTCATTTACTCCATAATTATGCTATAAATAATTTTTAAACTAGGACAAGACACAGTTATAGGTTGCATTTGCACCAAGCCACCAACTTCAATTACTGCTACACAATAAATATATATGCTTGCTTGAGGGCAGCCTTTCAAATGAGAAAAGAACAGTCTTGTTTGGAGAATTATATTTCTTATATCTTGACAATAAGTTGGGTTCTCCTACGTCATGTCAACTCGTAGAATGAATAAAAATACAACATTGATGAATCAAGTTCAACCTAATGTTTACCAAACCATCAAGTTGTATATCTTTTTTCTTTGTATGTTCATGAAAGTTCGGTAATTCTTTGTGGTTGGTGGAACTTTGACAGTATCTTTTTTGTTGGATGTGGTTCCAAATGATTTGTTTCAACTTTTTTTTACTTCTTCTTTCTAGGCAAAAGATTTGCATAACATAAGAAGCAATGCAAGATGAAGGAACTTTTAACCATACAATATTACTCGCATCAAGCGAAAATCTGCGTTCACAATAAATTTAAGACCTGCATGCACTGCTTAAGCAGGGCTCTGCCGTCTCTGCCTGGCATTGGCTTCGAAGTGGCCGTGTAGAACTCTCATTTTCATTTGATCATGTGATTCTTATTGCTTTCAACTTACAAGAGGAGTTGAATAAAATTATTGTTAAGGTCCTAAAAACAGAGGAATGAAGAAATAATATCATAATTATTCATTGGAATGGAACAAATGAAAACACAACCAACCTTGTTATCATTGACAATAACCACTATTGTATTACACACATACAAAGCATATTATAACCAACGGAGCAAGAATTATTCTTTGCGAATGCATATTCTAGAGTTAAAAAAAAAAATGGATGACCAGACCGTATTGGTGTAAATGAGTAAACTTAAGCACCTCCCTTGAGCTTCTTTGTGATGGCAGCGATGTGCTTGCCCTGGTGGAAAGCCTGCTGCAATTCAAGCTCAGTTGGCTGTCTTGACCCATCCCCAGCCAAGGTTCCTGCACCATAAGGACTTCCACCTTTCACCTTCTCCATCTCAAACATGCCAGCACCAAATGTGTAGCCAATGGGAACGAATATCATCCCGTGGTGAACGAGTTGGGTAACAGCAGTCAAACTGTAACAATCCCAACATTTTCATAAAACGTTGTTAGTTTCACTTCCTGACAAGTTTTCAAGTAAAAAACTTAATTTGGTAACAGTTATGCAGGACTTACGCTGTGGTCTCTTGGCCACCACCTTGGGATCCAGTGCTAAAGAAGATTCCAGCGGGCTTGCCGGCAAGTTGCTGAGATTTCCATAGACCCCCAGTTGCATCCAGAAAAGCTTTGAATTGGGCGGCCATCATTCCAAATCTTGTTGGGAATCCAAAGACAAAGCCATCAGCTTCAGCAAGTTCACTAGGTGTAATGATTGGTACATCACTCTTTGGTGGTGCACTCATCTTTCCAAGCACCTCTTCTGGCAGTGTCTCAGGAACCTGTTCCACACGAGGACTAGATCAGTATAAAAATTTTGCAGTTTCAGAGAAAACCACAACAATGGAGATCCTCCCTCTACTTCAAAATTAATCCCAGAAATTTCAGCATTGCTCCAAAACCATCGTAACCAACAGACAGTAACAGCTACTGGAATTTAGTGCTTAAAATGATTAAGTAGCTGTGCTAATCAATTCAAGTAGAAAACTTTAGAAACATTGAACAGAAAGGATTTCCTTGGCACCAGTTGAACTATCAAATTGCATTCCAAAATATTAGATTACAAACTTGAGTGACAAACAAGACGAAAAACTATATATAAATATGCCTTCACAACCCTAGAGATAATTATATGTGACAGAACTGACAGAGACGTCTAATCATGGAAAAAGAACCATAACAACTGTGAACAGAAATGTCACAGGTGCAAAATTCCAACAGAACCTTGGGATATGCAAGCAACATGGAGATAATTAAGAGAGATTAAAAGTGGTAATACTGATTGTCCTAAATGAAACAACATTAAAAAACTTAAAACTGCATGACATAAAGCATGCATGGAATCCATGGATGTCTATGATGAATTCTGATAACTTCATAACTTCACAAGTAGGCAACATTTTCAGAAACAAGTTAAGGTTCATGATCCTCAAACCTTGTTCCTTTTCGATCTAAAATTCTTATAGCATTCTACTGCTTTGTACCATCATATACAGGCCACAACATGAAGGCAAACTTAAAAGTTTGATATTATAACAGCAGGGACTCTGAAAGTTGACATTGAATGCACTTCCTCACCTGCCATAATTGGGCCTCAACACCTTCAACAGATGAAGCTCCTTTCTTAATCTCTTCTGCCAGTTTCTCTACATGTCCATACATGGAATAGTACCTGTAAAAGCAACAAGAAATTTTAAGAGACATAGTATGAGGAAAAAAGCAGAAAGGAGAAGGAAAGGGTGTGGAGAGCATTTGGAGCATATAAAAATAACTTGCATGAAATGGTATATACATAAGAGGTTAATTATGTCTTTAAGGGTAATTCATTTTTCTTCAAGTTTTTGAACCAAATCCAATATCAGTTTATAAGATCGTCTAGTCCAATCAATCCACAAGTGGGTCTAGCAGTTGAAAGTGTTTACCAATCGAAAAACCTTAAATAGCAATAGTTAATATAGATTGCAAATTTGCAATAACTCGATACATAATTCTTAATGTTCACACAGCACAACAGATATGTCCATATGATGAATAAATGGGAGGGAAATCAGAACATTAGATTCAAAAATTGCAACATAACGGCACTGAAATGATTGAGTTGACCAACACAAATAACTCATCATGCGTAAAATGATAGACAGCGTGAAGGAGCTCCTGCATATTTTATTGTAACTTTCAAGGAGTTGACTTATTGTGCAATTCAACTATAACCTCTGGCTCCTGAACTTTCTAGATCTACAAACTAGACACCTGCAAACTTACCCCCCATTCAAACACCCACAATACCCAAAATAAGTGAATAGATATATACTTTCCCTCATTGGGTTCTGTATTTTACTAGCAATAAACCAACTGACCCCAAATGATAATCCCACCAAATAGTGGATGCCTACATAAAGTCCACTAGCCCACTATGTATAAGAACCTTCAGACATGAAAAAAAATGCTAATCCAGCCGGGAAAGGACTTCATACCAATAACATGACAAGAGCTATCAGCTAAATTGACAATTCATAGTAAAATAACAGTGTCCGCAAACTAGTACGACATCCATGCAACTGGTTGAAAATCATGAAACAAAAAAGTAATAAATAGCAGCAGCCAATGGCTTCTTTTAATGGGATTTGACTGGATCTTTAGCAATTATCTCAACTCTAAGAGGAATTAGAAATTAAAATTACTTCCCTTAGAGCAAGCATTAAAACAGTTTTACAAATGAAAGATAATGAGTAATGAGCTATGAAACGATCGCCAGACGAACAATGGACAAGCAAAATTAATTACTAGAATCAATAAATAATTGTACGTTCAACTGACATGAAAAAAGAAGCATTTGCATACCGACAAGACATCCTACGACATTGCATTGCCAGACCCAAAAAATCAACTATCAACACGGCACATTCATATCTAAGCCATCAAGTAGTTATTCCAAACTAAACATCTATAATGCATATACGCTTACCAACACTAATTAATCAAAATAATAATAATAATAAAGAAAAAAATTCTAAACTGATTAATTAGAAATCCAATACAGATCATAACTTAAAACTAAAAAATAGAAAATCAGAACTTCAAAAGCAGATAAGGAAATTGGAAACACTCAAAACGCAGTACAGATCATACTTTAAATCAGCAAATGAATCAGTAAATCAACCCTAGCTCAAAATCAAAACACTCAAGCAAAAGCAATTGACTAAAACGGAATTAAAGAACTACCAGTCACTGTTCAAATTAACAGATCAAATCAAAATCAACAATTTTTTTTTCAAAAAAAACTCGAGGTTCACCTCAAAACATAGCAAATTAGAAGTGAAAAAATTGTGAGGATAGAGAGAGACAGAGAGAAACTTACACAATATACACTTTGGTTGCCATTGGAAAGAAATCTGCAGAGCGAGTTCACTCTCTTTTACTCTTTTTTTCTGTTTTTCTAGGTGTGCTTTGGTTGCGGGTGTTGTTTTAAGAGGAAGATAGAAGAAACGTTGACGATTGTTATCGAAAGGGGGTGGCCATAACGCGTATTTATAGTTCGTCACGGTGGGAGGGAGGGAGATTTTTAATTTATTCTTTATTTTTTTCAAATTAAGAGGCGCTTTATTTATTAATCACTGAGGAAAAAAAGAATACAAATAAATAATTATTCAATATTGGCAAGCTATAAAGAAAAAAACTTATTTTTTTAGTTAGTTCTGCTGAGTTGGATGCCGTGAAGAGAAACGGTACGTGGTTATTAATTTTCAAATGGAAATGATTAATGATTAATGATGATGATGGAATGTTGTGGTCATGCTTATAATCATAATGGTTGTTGCAAACTAATTTTCTCTAGAAGCTGTGACACTGTTTTTCATATATATATATATATATATATATAAGGAAACAAAACAAAATAAAATGAAATATAATCTAGAAAATATTGTTTTTTTCCTTGATACTCTTTAATTGAAATCTTCAATTCATCTTAACGGTCTACTTAATTAATTCTATGATATAAAATTTCACTCTATTAATGTTTTCAAGGAAACAAATTAAAATAAAACTATAATAAAAAATATTTGATTTCCCTTTACACATTTTAATTGAAATCTTCAATTAATCTTAATGGTCTACTTAATTGATTTTCTGTTATAAAATATTCACTCAAGTAATATTTTCAAAAAAATAATAATAATAACATAAAATATAATCAGAAAATATTTGATTTTCCTTGATACAATCTAATTGAAATCTCCATTTAATCTTAATGATCTACTTAATTGATTTTATGCTATAAAATATTCACCCTAGTAATATTCTCACGAAATACGGATATAGACTGAGATAGATTAAAAAAAATATTCAATTCGTGAGCTGTGTTGGTTGGCCAATGAGCTGTGTTTGTGTATTGAGCCATTTACGTGACTTGGAGTAAATTATAGATTAGTTCCTTCAGATTTTCAAAAGAAATAAAATAATCTTTTACTTTCAATAACTAATTAATTAATCTTTATATTTTTAAATATATTTGTAATTTAATTTTTTTCATCATTTTTAATTTTTTAATCAATAAAAAAATGAAATATATATATAAATATATAAAAAGATTAATGAAAAAGAAGACATTTGCTAAATCAATAATGTTAAATTAATTATGCCGATACTAGTCAATAGATTAATTAACTAATTTTTTTTAAAAAAGGACTATTTAATTTATTTTAGAAAAGTAAAGGGACTCATTTATAAATTTACTCACTTGTTTTGGATTACGCATATGGATTTTCGAGAAAATTTCGCCTATTGAGGGGTCCAATAGCAATATGGTCTTTTACTTTTGGGACCATTGATGGGTTGACTTCTAGTTTTGAATAATAGATATGGCGTTTTGGGACCGGACAAAATTGGAATGGAAGAGTGGGATGACGCACAATACATTGCATGCTGACCCAAAACTAAAATGGTTACCAAATTTACAGTTATACCATGCCAATATAGAAATTCAAAATCACTATCTTCTTCATCTTCTTATTTATTTATTTTTCATTAGAGTTGTGTGCCAAAACTTACACAAGATAGTAGCCATATTATATTTCATGAATTGTAAAAATAATTAAAAAAAGAAGAAAATAGTTTTACGAATCTTGCTTTTTTTTTTTTGGTACAAAGAATGGAGGTAAAGCTAAGGCCTCAAGACATAAATACCGCAACATCATTAGACGGAATGTCACCAATGTCGGACAAAGGATGATTCCGGACTTAAAAGGACTATCATTCAACGAGTCAATACGGGCGACGTGGTCAACACCTTTGTTGCCTTCTCTCAAAGCGTGATTAAAGAAAACACACCATTGTCTTTGGCACATGCGATGAATGTCAATGATGATGTTATAGTAAGGGTGATATTGACGGACACCATTACAAATAGCATTGACTACTTCTTAAGAATCAATCTCCATATTCACTTTTTGAAAGCCATAATCCCAAGCCAAAATTAGACCTTGGCCAATAACTTCTAACTCTACCAACATAATAAATGATTCTCCAAAAAAAAAAAAAATTAAGAAACCAACTTTCCACACACCATAATAATTCGAATCGGATCCTTAATCCCAACATGGTTAGTCAAATAGAAATGTTATAATACTAAAAAAATAACTAGTAGCATATACGATAGTTAATCTATTGACCCAATTTACGAGAGAGAGATAGACACAAAAAAGAAAGAGAAACATAAGAAAGAAAATAAAAAAAATTGAGCAAATATGAAAAAAAAATTTATCACTTTTGATGGATTCGGATGTAATTTTATCCCGTTTTTTGTGTCTATTTCTCTCTGTAAAGTGAGTCAATTGAGTAATTATTGTACATATCATTAGTTACTCATTGAGTATTATAATATTTCTTGTTAGTCAAGCTCGGAAACTACCATCGGTATTACCCTTGATTGTGTCTTGAGAGGGAGCTATCTAAGAAATCCAGTATTGTGGACTAAGTTCGTTAGGTAATAGGATAAGTTTCAAAAGCTAAAACATAATCATGGATAATATATTGGATTAGCTTTACTCGGCCTCTAAAAGCAAGGATAGTGCCTTAGATGATTTATTTGTTGTGTGCACACAAGTTGGTCCAGCATGTCGGGATAAATGTTCGGCGTTGATGCCAAAGAGTAGAATGGCAGAGAGCATTGCCATACAACCAGTCCTTCCAAGAAACTAAGAAGAAATCAATGGAGATATTTGAGTAGAGAAGTTACTTGTCAAATATTCTTAGCCCCCACACGATCATAAAGAGCGGGAAACATTGTTTCTTGGCACTATGCCATATCTTTAGCATAAAGGTGAAGTGGATATGCCCTTATGGAAGTGAAGAAAATTAGTAGGAAGGCATTGCCACTCTAATTGTTATAGAAAAAGATGATGCTTTTATGCCAATTTCAAACTTCGGATACTCTTCCATTGTGTGTTCAATTCTATTAGATGAGGGACCCTTATAACAAACTCATAGCCGGACTTAGCAGTGTAGCATCTTAAACTGTTTTCACCCTGAGCTAATTTTTTAGTTAAGGAGAATACTAGAGCAAGTGGGGTGCCCACTAACAAAGCATAAACTTGGGTTGGAAGAGTAATGTCCAAATTAGATAGATCCTAATTTCCGAGTCTCTAAGATGATATTTGCAATTAGGAGCTCGTTTTCTTCTATGTTGATGTTTGTCATACAATGTTGTAAAGGAACTTGCCCCAACCATCTATCAAACCATAAATATACTTGCTAACCATCACTAATACACCAAGTATAACCATCTTTCAATTAGGAAAGGACTTATAAATAGCTTTTCACATCGGATAGATTATCCGTAGTGGATAATGCACCATGAATGACTCACCATGCAAGTATTTCGGGAAAGAATACGAACCCGGAGTTTTTCTATCTTCTAAACCAAATCATATTCTAATTGTCCTAACATAGCAATATTATTCTCCCTTGCCATCCGAAGACCATGTCCACCTCTATTTTAGGGGTTGTAACAATTTATCAATTGACTAGATGTATGCCGGTACCATCTTCTAAAGACCCTAAAAAAAACCCTCTAGAAAGGTTCTTGGTCAAGTTATAAAGTGCGGGAGGAAGCCAAACCAATCTGTATTGTGTAGAGGAGGTAATAAAGAGAATTAACCGAACCAAAGAGCAATGACCCACTTTGCTCGGTAAATTAGATTTCCTTCCTACTAAATGAAAATGTTTCTTTTCAATGATGTTCTTGAGAGAAGAACCGGACCTTAGCATAAAGAGGTACTCCTAAATAACTACCTAAATTTGATATAAATGAGAAATTTAGTTTTCTTCGTAATTCCTCTTGATGCCTATAAGATGTGCCTAGGGAGATTTAGACATAGGTTATCTACTCATTAACTAGTCTAGTAGAGCTTGCATAGAATTGTTCCATAGTGTTTAGAACCACTTTATAGTGATGGTAAGAGATATGGGAAAAGAGTAACACATTATCAACAAAGAGGAGGAAGGATAGTGTCAAACCACCACGTGAAATTGCGATTGGTTTCCAAATGTTGTTAACCACTTTAGTATTTACAAGTAGTGAGAGCTTTTCCACACGGAGCATAAATAGGTATGAAGAGAGTGGATCTCCTTGATGAAGTCCTCATTTCGAGCTAATATCGGCGAGTTTGTTACCATTCCAAAAGAGAGAGAGGAGGCATTGAAAATACAAGACATAATGGGTTGTACATATTTAGAAAGGAATCCATAGTCAATCAAACCTCAATATAGAAACTATCAATCAATCATGTCATAAGCTTTAGCTAGGTCAATTTTAAGGCAAGAGAACCTATTTTGTTTTTTTTGACCTCCGAATGGTGTTCATCGGTTCCTAGCCTAGTAAAATATTCTCCGTACTTGTGCGATCCAAAATAAAGGCACTTTGAAGAGGACTAATCGGTTAGTTCATCAATGATCTAATTCATTGGACTAATATTTTTGTAAGTATTTTATATCTCACATTATAGAGGCTTATCGATCTAAACTATTTTATATTAATCGGATGTTGCTCTTTCGAGATCAAGACAATTGATGTCTCTAAAATCTGTGAAAGACAAGCACTAGAGTTAAAAGCTTCTTGAACCATTCAAAAGATAAAGTCCTCCACGATAAGCCAATACTTATGGTAGAATATAAGTTGAAATCCATCAAGGTCATGTGCTTTATAAGGTTTCATGGATTTAATAGCATTGAGAACTTCAGCTCTAGTAATAGGTCATAGTAGATCCTCTATTTTAGATTAATTGAGGATAGAGTGGCCATCTAGTGAAAAGAGAGAGAGGTAGAAAGGTCATCTATAGTACATAATAGGTTTGAAAGTAAGAGAGGACCTCCTCTTGTATAAC